TGAGCCGTTTCAGTCACATACTAGAAGCTAAACGGTGTGCTATGACTTTAACAAATTTACTGGTCAAGAGGCATACTGGAAAGGGACTTAACTGTTATCCAAGGCCTTCAGAAAGGGTTCTCTGTCTGCCCTTTTGAAGAATGATGACATGAAGGTTTCTTTTTAGTAAAACTGTCATTACATCTCCCTTACAGTTGCAGCAAAAACACTCTGAACATAATTTAGTACTCTGGTTTTGCTCCACAGAAGGATCAGCATTTATTGCATAGAGATCAAAGCATGGAGGAGATTTTAGAATCAGCTGCTTGCTTGGCTCTCAAAGCTCTTGCTCATTTTTGTCAACAACCAAAGATGTAATAAACAATTTAAGAGCCAGTGCCTCACCCATCACAAAGCTGTCAAATCCTCCCTGATTCACAAAATTATACTGGTGCTACAATTTTTTTCAAAAAATTCTACATGCTTAATCAACAGAGAAATACTATAAAATCTGTTCCAAGATCTTTCTGGATTCCTTTTAAAAGATGAGTTGTTTTAGTTCATTCAGTGACTATTGTTACAGCACAAGTAATGGTGTGCCCTTCACATCTTGTGTTCCATGTAATCACAGGGACTGTTTTTAAAGAAACAGAAGCAGTAGAGCCCAGTCATGTTTGCAGTCAAATTCTGGCTCAGGCACATAGAAGGTACTTTAAGTGAGCTATAATGATGTCTATAATATGACCTGACATGCAGCTGACTTAATAGCTATTGAATATTTTTATTACCCTCTAAATCAACAGATGTAATAACATTGTGCTTGATAGAAAAACAACTATTAATGCTAGAATTGATAAAAATAACTGTGCCAGGTGTGGCAGGAAAAAAAGCATGTAAATGTTGATTCAATTTCATTGAGTTTTAAATTAACCCAGAAACAGAACAGCAGTAATAAACTAAACTTCGTTATTTGATCACCAAATAAATAAATAAATAAATAAAACAAAATCTTATCTTTTTTTCTCCATTGCTGTTTCCCAACAGGATCTCCCCAGGCTTCCTACATCTCATTTAGGAGGAGCTCGGGGCTTTGTTATTCTTTGGAAGATAGCTTGCTCATGAAATTATAAAAAAAAAAACACTGGCACTGATATTAAGGAGTAGGATAGGGAGGGGAAGAGACAGAGGAAAAAGAGGAGAGAAGAGAGTAAGAGAGAGAAAATTCGTTGTCAAAAATCAACAGTGCTTACTTTTTCTTTTGCAAGAAATGTACAATCAACATGCTTCCCAAAAAAGCCAATGTCAGCCAGCTGTGGAGATTCACACCTGTAATCCCAACTACTCAGGCAGCTGAAGCAGGAAGATCATGTGAGCCCAGGAATTTGAGACCAGCCTGGGCAACACAGCATGACCATGTTTAAAAAAGGAAAAAAACAAACAACAAATAAAATAGCCTGCTCCTATAGTCCCAGCTACTCAGGAGGCAGGAGGATTGCTTGAGCCCAGAAGTTCAAGGCTGCAGTGAGCTATGACTGTGCATTACGCTCCAGAGTGAGACCTTGTCTCCTTTAAAAAAAAAAAAAAAAAAAAAAAAAAAAAGTCAAATGTCAGAGTTGAAAAACTGTTTTTAAAACAATTTTTTATTCTCAATCAAGTTCCCAAGGACACTCTGAAGAAGGGACATTAGCTCTTTCCTTGCCTTTACTTTATATATACCACAGGGCATCTTAAAATCTATCCACCTAGTCCTATACCTCACCAGAAGTAGCACTTCACTCCCCTGATGTTTCAAGGAGATACTCATAATATACATATTTTAAAAGACATTTTAAATATTCAAATATTTGTGCTCTTCACAATTTTTCAAAGTTCAAGTCACAAGAATAAAACTTTCAAGAATGTCATTATGTTGCCCATTACACTTCAGAGCTATGCTGGTTCCGTAAGATTAAAAATTTAGCTCCTCACATATTAGCCCCATTTCAAGTACTTGACAGTCACATGTAGGTAAACTCTGTCTTTACACAGACTCTACAATACAGAAAGAGAAAAATCATGTTGACAATATGAACTGCAAGAGAAGCAAGAATTCTGGAATAGGCAGACTCTTCTAATTTTTAAATGTTGGCATTCATTTTAAAATTTACAAGATAATAATAAAAACACTGTGGAACAAGAGACTGGGGAGACCTGGCAACTAAATGCAGGTAGCATCTTACATTGGATCCTAGAATGGAAAGTAGTTAATGGAAAAACTGGTGAGGTTAGTTAGTACCATTGTTGGATTTTTGGTTTTGAGAAAGGTACCATGGAAATGTAAGATGTTAATGATGGGGGAAGCTGAATAAAGTGTATATGAGAAGTCTCTGTACTACCTTTTCAACTTTTCTGTAAATCTAAAATTATTCCAAAATACAAAGTTTAGTAACCACCACCACTACCAAGTGGGCCACATTTGCCCAAGTCTCCAGTTTGTGATCTCTAACCACTGTGTGAACCCCACATCATAAATACTACCTAGACAAACACATAGCACAGAAATAAAACAATATGTTTTCATGAATCAGAAAAAATGTGAACAATTATGAAGAGAAGAATGACGTGAGTGAAACTGCTGACAAAACAACAGAATGTATTCTGAAGTGACTTTCATATACTCAGCCTATCATTCCCAGAGTTATGGAAAAATCTAAAAACAAGACTAAATATGTTCATATTTTATGTAAGACTAGAAAAAAATGATTTACATTTGGAAATGATATAAACACTACGTACTCAAAGATATTGAAGAAACAAATATCCGGGCCGGGCGCGGTGGCTCAAGCCTGTAATCCCAGCACTTTGGGAGGCCGAGGCGGGTGGATCACGAGGTCAAGAGATTGAGACCATCCTGGTCAACGTGGTGAAACCCCGTCTCTACTAAAAATACAAAAAATTAGCTGGGCGTGGTGGCACGTGCCTGTAATCCCAGCTACTCAGGAGGCTGAGGCAGGAGAATTGCCTGAACCCAGGAGGCGGAGGTTGCGGTGAGCCGAGATCGCGCCATTGCACTCCAGCCTGGGTAACAAGAGCGAAACTCCGTCTCAAAAAAAAAAAAAAAAAACAAATATCCATGAATCAGTCAAAAACCTAAGAATATAATTAAGTGCCCAAATTTGAGATGATAACATCCTAAGAAACTGGCAAGGGAGTGATCAGTGGTAGTTGGAGAGACCCATCCAGGGATGAACTCTGAGGGGTTTCGGAAAGCTGAAAGGCCTGATAAAGACATCCTTGGCTGAGAAATTGGATAAAAAGAAACAGGAATGAACATGAAAGAGATAAGAATGCTCTAAAAAGTACAAGGAGTGATAGGAAACAGGCTGGTTAGGTCAAGGGAGGTTAGATTACTGAAAGCCTTAAAAGCTAAGCAAAGGGGTTTGGTCTTGAAGCAGTAGCAACTAGGGACAACTTACCATTGCTACATGGGGGAGAGGGGTGGGGAAATAGTGTTTTAGGAAAAATAATTTGGTAACATTCCTAATAATTTGGCAATGCTCTTCCCTACATTCCACATCCTTGTGACTGTCTTAGACATTCTACGTTCAAAACCACAACATCGCCTTCAATTCCTCTTCTGATCTCATCAGTTGCCAGTCCTGTCAATTATATCTCACACATCTGTCATCCGTCTTCTACCTCTACAGCTAGGACGCCTCAGTTCAAATCCTCATGATCCTCTCTAATCTTGCTTCTATTGGTGACGCTAGGCACTACTGGCAAAGTTAAGTTTCTAGAGCAGTTTATGACCATGACATTCCAAATCCAAACACCTCTGCTGGCTTAACCAGCATGAAGCCCTGTGGCTCCCCCTATCTCCAGGCCTATATTCTGTCACTTCCCTACAAGGCTAGAGACAAAAGAGGTATGTTGTATTCCCCATGCTGTCTACCTGGCTCAGAATGCCTTTCTTCTCTGAGCTCTACCTTTTGAATCCCTACCTGTCTTCCAACCAATACTTTCTATGTACAGTGGTTGACAGCTTTAAAAAATGGAAAACAAAATAGAACAAAGCACCATGTCACTCTGCTTAAGTCGTGAATGCCTCCTAACTGCCTTTCACATAAAAAGTCCAAGCTTGTTGGTACAAAAACACATAAATTAACCCGCTCTAACCTGGCCCCTACCTATCTCTTCAGCCTCAACCTTGCTCGCTTATCACTGAGTATTTAATGCTCTAGGAATACCACCACGCACACCACATCGCATTATTTCTTATCTCTGTGTCTTGAATCATGCTTGAACCATTTCATTCTTTCTTTAGCCATTTCATCTTTTTTTTTTGAGGGGTAAGATTATGCGTTTGATAGAGCTTAAAATAAAATTCAGAATATTGAGGCCCAAGAAGTTCAGCATCTGAGAACTTTACACCTTTCATTACCAAGTAGTCAACTCCTGGGAGGATAAAGAACTCCTGATTCAGAATCTGAGAGGAATTAGTCTCCTGTTTCCTTATCACTCTGCTGTCTTTTGCTTGGGTTCTAACGGGTGCTATTCAAACCTGACACAATGAGTGTAAGGTTTGCAATCTACTATTCTAACCGGTAGTACAGCGATGGATGTCACTATCTGCCCATAAGAAGGAATGGGAAACATCATACAGAGAACAAGAAATAAAGCAGGCAGAACCCCCAAGGGATACAGTGGGGTCCTAGAGGTTACCCCACACGAGAATGAGACTGAAGGAAAGGTGCCTGAGCCCCAAGAGTCAAAACAAGGGAATGCGTTAGGAAGCAGTGCTTACTTACTCTTATGAGACAGCTTTAAGGCAGATCTGAGGTAGTGCACTCTAAATGTGGTCACATACACCACAATAACCATGAAACCCCAAAGGGCAACCCCAGGTTATGTCACTGAAGAAGTCTAATCCCACCTGTTTCTTTCATGCTCTTCTATTTCCCATCCTTGAGGTGAATAAAAATGCATATAAACAACCTTGCTTTAATGAAAAAGAAGGATAAAAATAGCTTTAAACAACGTACCTTTGATTTTTTGTTCAGTGGCCTAAAATAAAAACAAACAAACAAAAAACAATGTAAATATGAAACTGAAAGAAATGGACTGTTATGATAAAATGTTCATATATTACTATAAGACATATACACCTTTATTAAATAAGGAATTTGTCAAATAGATGAACTGTACAGGAAAAGATATGCGAGGAAAGCATGCTTTTCCCACAGATGTGCCCCATTATCCCTGATATTGCTTATTAATTTTAAAAACCTAATTTGTTTTGATAGTAAGCATAGAAGACATCACTGTATGCATAGAAGACATCACTGTATGACAGTATATAATTTTTTAAATGGGAGCTGCACTTTTCTCATGTCCTTTAAAAATGATTTTTATGTAACTGTCACCTTAACATGTAATGGATTTAATACATTTTGCATGTTTAAATGGCTTCAAAACTTGTTACAAGTGATAAAAAGATAAGTTTTCCGCAAGAAAAGCTGTATATAATCACTTCAGCCAAATTAATAACAAATTTAACTCCTGGAGGTTAGGCTGCTATTACAATTAAACTTAGTCAACTTTTAAGTATCTAAGTATTTTTGAGTGGAAAAAAATTTCAAACTAATTTATCACTTCTGACACATCTGACAATATGTTAAAATTACTGTGATCAGAAGCTGAACTGCCATGAACTCTGCTTTCACTGCCTTCCAATGCCTGCTCTTCCTTTATTTTCTGACACCACAACTGAGGAGAGGGGCTTGAAGACAGCAGGGTTGTCTCCAGGTGACTAGCTCAAATTCCCAAGGGCCTCAAAAAAAAAACCACAGACAGAAAAACAAAAAAAAAAAAAAAAAAAAAAAAAAAATCAACCTTTTGATCAAGATCAATATTATTGGAATCCTGAAAATAACAGATAAACAGATACAAGAACAGAAAGGGAGGTGAGGAAAGACTGAATAATTAGTAACTGAATAACCAGGAGTTGTTTCTAAATGGAGATAAAGCTTTTCTTAACTGCCACGGGGCATGATAATTCATTTTGCTTAGTTATATGAAATTATTGTTATAAAAAATACCATTTTAAATTATATTATTATAGATATATTTGATAAAAGCCATAGTAATTACCCTAATATTGAAGCCACACCAAACATTAACCTTTCCCCAGAAAGTCAGGGAGTCTCAATATACCACTAAGTGCTTTGCTAAATTTTAGAGCACTAGTGAAATATAAAATAATGGAGGCTCATCTTTTACTCTATGGATCAAAATTTAAATTAAAACAAAAAACAAAAAAACAAAAAACATTTTTGATGGAAAGACAATGCCAAACAACCAGTCAACTGGCTAACAACACTTCATGTGTTTTTGGGAAAATTCTTATTAAAATTTGAGAGTAGAAAAACAAGTCTTATCAGAGGGAAGTTAGCATACGAACACTTTTAGGCATTAGAAATGTCATGTCAAACAATAAGATGCATAATCTTCTGATGCCAAAGAGTTGGCACAAAGTTTCTTTTATATGTTGAAAGCTTTCCCCCTACCCCCCAACTCTCCTGGTCTCTTTCACAATTTACTTCCAATGGAAACTAAGTTTCAGAACATTGAAACAATGACCAGATAATCGAAATTCAAAGTAGGCCAGGTGTGGCTGGCTCACACCTGTAATCCCAGCACTCTGGGAGGCAGAAGACGGGAGGATGCTTGAGGCCAGGAGTTTGTGAGGTCAGCCTGGCCAACATGGAGAAACCTCGTCTCTGCAAAAAAACACAGCAAAACAAAACAAAGTATACAGTGTTGTTCTTCTAAGCCTTATGACATAAAGGACATATGCTACACAACAACTTTGGAAAAACTCCATGTTGCTTCAAAACAATGGTCAACCTCATTCAATATTCTGTCATCTACAGAGAATGGCCCCATGGAGACACCCAAGGTGTATCTGCCCCTCAGAATCAAACTTAATGCATTGAAGGAATGAAAGTAGTGTTATAGAAACCAAGAGCTCTTCACGGAATAGGAAGAAACAGAACTAAGAGTTCCACTTCTTTAAAACAGGTTTTTGTGGGCTGGTGTGGAGGCCTAGTACATTACTCAAATTATTAAAAAGAATTTTCCAGGTGGGGTCAGTCATTTTAATTGTCTGCACTGTCCAAAACAATTGCCACTAGCCACCTGTCGCTACTGACCACTGACTGAAATGTGGCTAGTCTGAAGTGAGATGAGCAAAACGCACATCAGATTTCTAATATTTGATATTTTAAAAAGAACACAAAATGCCTCATTAATATTTTATACTGACAACATGTCAAAATAGCAACATTTTAGCTATATTAGGTTATATAAAATATGTTAAAATTAATCTTGACTGGTTCTTTTTACTTTGAAATGATCAGATCATTTTAACCCTCCGGGTCTCAGTTTCCTAATTTCTCCAATGGACAAAATAACTGTCCTGCTTATCTTTCAGAGTTGTTATGAGGGTCAAATAATAAAATGTGAAAGATATATTTCAGAAAAACTATACAACAGTATTTCAAATGTGAAGTATCACTGTAAATCCTCTCACACAGATAATTAAAAGATTCTGGCCAATCTAGAATCAAAATTATTTCCATTTTTAATATATTATTATTTTAAAAAATCTGAGCTATGGTTCCACGAGCAATGATCACAACCATCTCCTTCATTAGTAAAGACAGCAGCGCAGTGGCAGAGCACAGCACCCCACCTCCTTTACTGCCAGGCTCTGCACTGCTTGTCCCAACGCCATGGTCCTGAAGCACACTCAGTGGTTAAGACCTCAGAATCTCAGGCCTGACTGCCTGCCTGGTTCTGCCACTTACACTGTGTGACCCTGCCACTTAAATGTGTTAACTTCTCTAAAGCTTAGTTTCCTCAACTATAGAACTGTGGCAAAAACACCCGCCTCAGAGTTGTAAGGTTAAAGGGATTTAACTCATATAAAGCACTTAGGACAAGGCCTGACTTATAGAAAGCATTCAGCAGACATCAGCTGCTGCTGTGGCAGCAGTGGCTGCTATCTTCAGCCCCATCTGCTCATGCTTTCTTTGGCTCAGTCCTGGCTCTCACATTTGGAAATAAGCTGACTCTACACTCGTCCCGTTTCCAGGTCTTGATTTTCTTTTTCTAATCATCCACAATGTCTTAACTGTGCCACGTATTATAACCTAATATTAAGAATAAAGAATTAATCTAGTTCAATTCACTGATTTTAAATGAGATACCTAGTGCTCAGAGAGCTTTCCTATGACTTAGTAATGAGCGCTCTGTCTAGAATCCAGGTCTGTTGACTAAAACGAGTCTTATAAAAGAGGGAAAGAGAAGTGTAAGGCATAAGGAGGGGCAAGATTGTCAGAGAACACCTAACTGCCCTCGACAAGTGCACAACTCAGGCCTGGTCATGTTACCACCAAGGTTATCAAGAAAATTTACTAATTAAACTGCTGAATATGATCCTCAAAAATGGCAATAACGCTGTAAGCTCTCTATAACCTAGATCTCATTTAAACTTGAATTTAATATATTTAAGTCAATAACACCTATAAAAATCCCTCCAGCTCTTAACACAGTAACAGCAAAAAGCCCATGGATGTGGAAACATTCTCCTCGGCCCTCAACCATTATATGCTTTCCAGGAACTACAATTACATGCTTAAAGTAAAGGTTACACTAAACTATCCCTCTATAATTAACCTATTTCTCAACCTCCTTTTTCCTCCTCCTTACATTTCCCTTAAGACCTCTTCGAGAAATTTCTTCTAAAAACAGAACCTGGAAAGAAATCCATGGTAACCTACTGCTACTATTGTCACCCCCCCACTTTTTTTTTTAAGTATGGAAACTACATTTCCATGCTGGATCAAATCATTTTCTAAGCCTGAGAATCAGAAAATAATAGACCTGGTCCTTAGATACGAAACAGAAAAGATTGTTATAGATAATCTTTTATGAAAAGGCTTTTCAAAAAATTTTAAAAACGAAAGTCATCTAGTCATCTGTCTCCATATTGATTGGAAATGTACTAGGGCTGAAATATAAAAATTGCCCTGTTTTTAATGTGAAAAAGCTCTTTAAAGAATTAAGTATTTAAATTAATATTTAAATGACAGAATAATAAAAACTATCATACTGGAAATATTGTTGTAAGCCTTGTTGGTGTCTGTTTTTATAGGAAGTTGTATTATCTGGCTTTTTATTCAAAATAGAAAATAACCCATGGTGTGAATTTTTAAAAAAACCACAGTGGCTATTGGGGACTATTAAATCTATGCATTTTCTGTATTCATGGCATAAGAACCTATTTTATACCCTATTATAAAAATTATTGTGATACATTATTTCCCAATTTTAAAGTTCACCTTTATAAATGATTTAAAAAAATAAAGCAAAGTGTAAGATAATGTTCTGCATGAAAACGATAAAGTCATGGCACAGGGTTTCGGCAAAGCACCAGCTGGAGGAGACAGATTTCAATTATATTCCTGGTTCTGTAACCATGATGAAACCAAGGTCAAACAATTCATTCTGATGCTTAGGTTCCTTATATTAAAAATGAACAAATTTATTAGAACAGATAATATCTGGTCTTTTTCAAAAATAAGAAAATATAAATTACATAAAACAGACTTTTTACTGTGTGAGTTTATGCTGCAACAATTATACAAATGGGCCTGCCACCTGGCTCATGTAGCTATCTGCCTGGATACACCTGCTGGTTCCTACTAGAGACAAAAGGCAAGTTCCAGAAAACCTGTCTTAAAAACTCTGTGACTCACAATTCTTCATATGGGCTGTAAGTGTGCCATTTGGGGGTTTTCTTTTCTTTTCAAGAGCTATTGGTAACACTCTATGGAAATACCAGCTGTCCTCACTTCATCAACAGGTTGTATTCAAATTCAGTTGTAAGCTGGTTATTTGAAACTTGGAGAACAGTCCAATTTACAGTAGCAACCTAGCCTGCTAAACATATCATTTTATAAGTGAGAGAGCATGGAATTTGTTATCAGAGGTATTAAACCTTCCTTTATATTGTGTTCAGTGGGCAGATACTGTGATGTGTCTATGAGACATACAGGAATACCCTGTCAGCACTGAAGATCTGGCAAAAGAAGGAAAAATTACTTATATCCCTAAGCCTCTGATGATGGTTCTAGTAAAGGACATAGTTGAGGTGAGAGACTGGAATCATGGGGTGAGATAGGGATGAAGCAGGCAACAGTATGAAAAGCTGTCACTTCAGATTTGGGGACAAGTCAAATGGCATAATGATCACCATTTATGTGTTAGAGGCTTATTTATAAGGTACCTACACATAGGTGATCACCTATATTGACTTGGTGATTTAGAGATTTGACTATACAAAAACGTAAAGAGGTACTTTAACAATTAGAGCCATTATTGTGTATGTTACAATTTTAAAATTATATTCACAAAAATACAGTATTTAAAAGTGTCATTCAAGTGACCCTCTCTTTCTTAAAATTTCTCAGTAAATAGAATAAATTCCAATCAGATACACTTATATATTGTCTTAGGCCTCTTCTCTAGCCATTTCACATACATTCGCACTTATCAGCTAATTCTTGAACTCCTTAGACACAGGGATCAACAGCACCTAATTCAACACTCAGATGCTTGCCAAACTATTGAATCTACATAAAGTATACCCAAGCATCCTTTTCAGTAAACCTCTTAAGTTTCTTAGAAGCCCTTTTCATTGGCAAATGGCACTTCACATCATGGAACAAAGTCTGATAAGCCTTTACCCCAACATCCGACTTACAGAAGACACAACTCTCTCATAAGAAATTCTGAGCAATGACCGACCAGACTGCAAAGACTGTCCAAAATAAACAGCCTCTGACAGAGGCCCAAGGCATCGGTCAATTCCAAACCACATGAGAAGTCTACCAAAACCCTGACTGTGGCATAAACCTATGCATCCCTTCCCAGGCACCCCTGAGAACAACCAAAAGGCAGGTAGGTGGCTAGGGCCACATCATCTCCTCTCATCTCACACTTAATTTTCCTCCCCTAATGCTTGCTGATGACACCGCTAGGCTCAGGACATGTAGAACTGAATTATTTATCATTTCCCCTTTCCTTGTATCCCCGAGTGAGATTAACTATTCTCAAATGTAGTCACTCATCTGGAACCTGCAAGTCAAATCTAAGTTGACTCTCCCTCTATATCCTTTAAACAAATTTTGTGGATTACTTTAGTAGTCCCTTCACCAGTATTTCAGACTCTGGTATCTACCCCTTGTAATCCAATTCCACAATTTTTCTTTTTTTGGAGACGGAGTTTCTCTCTTGTTACCCAGGCTGGAGTGCAATGGCGCGATCTCGGCTCATCACAATCTCCGCCTCCTGGGTTCAGGCAATTCTCCTGCCTCAGCCTCCTGAGTAGCTGGGACTACAGGCACGCGCCACCCTGCCCAGCTAATTTTGTGTAGAATTCCACAATTTTTCAAGGTAAACATACTAAAATACAAACTTTTATGTGTCATTCTATTAAAACATTTTCAGATTTTTCCCCGAAGCCTTCAGAAAACCTACTAACCTTTCCTAGCTCAACTCTTCAGAGTTCTACCCTTGGTTCCCTCCTTTTCCCTCAAGCAAAATCCATCTTTTAACACAGACAGGCTAAAATTTATTTCTGAGTTTTCACTGTTTGGAATCCTTTTCTATTCTGCTCCTTATTCACCTGAATAATTTCTACTCTAAGGAAATTTCTCTGTCCCTCTGCCCCATCTCAGGCTGAGTCACGCACCTTTCTCTGCACTGCAACAGTTCCCCATAAATGCCTCACCTGCCATAGTTTTATAGCCTGTGTTTTCCCCCTACTAAATAATATGGACATAAGTATCTTGCTATAGTCTATATCCAGTTCCTAACACACACCTGGCTCAAAAGGGGCATATATTAGAAATTAAAATAATTTTTCATTAGAATTGAGAATTGAAACAGTAATTTCACTAGGTTTTTTAGAACATTTTAATGTCTTGAAACCTTGACATAGATGAGTGCCCAATTTAACTATTATCGACTTTTAGTATTAACAATTTGGAAAATTTTTAATTACAGATATATTTTTTATTTTTATTTATTTTTTTTTTTTTGAGACGGAGTTTCGCTCTTGTTACCCAGGCTGGAGTGCAATGGCGCGATCTCGGCTCACCGCAACCTCCGCCTCCTGGGTTCAGGCAATTCTCCTGCCTCAGCCTCCTGAGTAGCTGGGATTACAGGCATGCGCCAACATGCCCAGCTGATTTTTTGTAGTTTTAGTAGAGACGGGGTTTCACCATGTTGACCAGGATGGTCTCGATCTCTTGACCTCGTGATCCACCCGCCTCGGCCTCCCAAAGTGCTGGGATTACAGGCTTGAGCCACCGCGCCCGGCATATTTTTTATTTTTTACTTTGCATTTAGTTATAGCTTCTTATACTACATTAGCTAGTTTAGAATTATCTTGCAATAAACAACGTCCTAGGTTTAAGGCTAATATACACTGAAAACTTCAAAAATCAGCCCAGGTACTAAATAAAAAGGGGAAAAGGAACTGACACTTTACTTCCTGTTATGTTTATTTGGATTTCCCTTAATATTCTATTACTACAGTACACATAATAACATCATCTCACTTAATTCAAACCTCATTTAACAAAACACAAGGAAACTAAGGCCCAGAGAGGCGAAATAAAATTTAAGGCCACACCATTCTATGTGTTATGTGGGAGAATGAGATTTTAAATCCTCTCAACATGGCTGAAATTCCACGCTCTTCTCACTTATAAAATGATATGTTATGAAACACCCAGGAACAGCTATTTGAAAGATAAACATCTATAAAATGTACTTACCTTTGAAAAACTATTGACAAGATTAAACAACTATGCATTAAATTGTACAAATTCAGCAAGTTACTTCATATGCATATTCAAAGACATTAAATATTAATGAATCTCCATTGAAACCAAAACATTAAATCAAATAATTTTCTTTTTAATTCTATGTTTAAACTGCTTAATATAAATAGTTTATACACATACTACCTTCTTTTGAGCAGCTTCCTTCTTTTTCTTGTCGTCTTTTTTCTTTTTCTTTTCTTCCATCAACTGTTCTTCTTCTTGCACTAAATCCCTGAACCACACAGTTGCAATTAACTTTCCCAAAATGTATGAAGAGATAAAAATAATGCTGCATACAGGTTCATTTTCACTTTTTCACTCTTATCAGAAGACATGGCAAATTATTCTTTTATCATTCGTTAAAATAAAACACAACTTGCAACCTACCTCTAACTGTATAGCCACTATATGGTACAATATACTTTAATACAGGTACTACAGCTTTTATCTTAATATCAAAGAAGACAACCTAAAATTAGCAAATTTTACACTGGAAAACAAGCAATTTCTTCCAATCCTAGAATGTAAATATCATCATTTAAGCTGGAGTTACCCTACTACTGGCCCCAATTATCAATTAGTAGCGAATGGCAATGCCTGAGAGCACCCCACAATCCTCTCCCAGCTAGGTTTCTGGGAGCTACCTTTAGTTTTCCTTGCTCTAAAAGCTTTGTAAATATTTTTAGAACATAACTTATTAAATAGGTGACTTGTATTTCAGCATTACAAGTTCATATTCTATAAACATACCAAAGTATTCTATCAATTCTTGGGAAACAATAATGTATTATTGTTTGTTTGTTTTGAGATGGAATCTTGCTCTATTGCCCAGGCTAGAGTACAGGGGTGCGATCTCCGCCTCCCAGGTTCAAGTGATTCTCCTGCCTCAGCCTCCTGAGTAGCTGGGATTACAGGCACCCACCACCATGCTTGGCTAATTTTTGTATTTTTAGGAGAGATGTGGTTTCAACAAGCTAGCCAGGCTGGTCTCAAACTCCTGACCTCAAGTGATCTGCCCGCCTCAGCCTCCCAAGGTGTTGGGGTTGCAGGCATGAGGATTGGGATTGCAGGTTGTCCCACCACATATGGCCTAAAAATGTATTCTTTAAAGAAGTTTGTTTAAATTTGTTAAATCTCAAATGGTTAAAGTTGTCAACAGAACCTCTGGTTCAGGATTTCAAAGTGACAGACTGGGCAGATGTGCTTCAGCAAACAGGTTATTACCTTTCAGGAAAAAAAGGTTATTACTTTTTTATTCCATTCAGAGCTGATGAATAAACAGGAGCAAAAACTGCCTCACCTAAGCATAAACACAGGAGAAGTCTAAAATGGATGTTTTAGGTACCATCCTTTCTGGTGGAGCTCTAGAGAGCGTCCCAGAAGACCAGAGCAGGAGAGCATGAGGCAAAAAGACAGACAAAGGAATAGAAAAGCCATAGCTACTCAAACCCTCTCACCTACTTCCCATCCAGATGCGGATGAGGCCAAGGTAGTAACTGCTTCTGAATGCAGCCTAAAGCCAAACAATACTCTCTAAAGAAACAAAACTTTCCACAGGAGTCTGATAAGTTCTTGAAAGGGTCATGCTGTCCCAGAACAAAACCCTCTTATTGGAGGCTGCTGCCACTCCCTCCATCACAGTGTAAAGTAAAGCCTGCAAATCAACACTCTACACATAGATCAGCCTTCCCATTCAGGGAAGGAATCTACTGGGGAAAGAAACCTACGCAAAGGTGGAAGAAGCTCACTCCTACAGTCATCACCGTAAAGTCTAGACCCTAAGCCTTCATTCATAATGCCAACAATCAAAATCACCAGTTACCTAAAGAAAAGCACCACACACAATGAAAATACCTAACTCTGCCCTGAGGAAACTTTCCAGAGGGGACACTAAGAATACTGGGCAGACATGGAGAGGTTTGGAGATACGAACTAGACATTTGAGAAACTGCACATCATTTATCAAGGCTGCAGTGCATATGGAAGTAGGGAAGATAAAAGGAGAAAGAGGCAAGTGCCTAAGAAACTGGAAGGGTTTGCTATGGATGGACTGCAATGAGATTAAACAAAATTTAAGTTGGCTTTGCTGATGGAAGAGAATGAGAGGAGACGCAGACAGAAACTGAAAAATGAATGATATTATGCACAACTGATGAAAACTTAGTGAAGTTAAGTATAGGACTACTAAAATCAGCTAAGAGGATAACTGGAAGAACACTATGGTAACTGCTGCCATATTTCACTGCCATTTTTGTTACAAGCAGAAGTGTCATGTGGCTAATGGAGTAACATAACAGATTTCTGCCAACTGTGGCCATGACTCACTCTCTTTTGAATTCTGTGTGCGGGAGGTAGTAGGACTGAACAAGCTCACTCACACTACAATCCAGGGGAAGTCAGGGAGCAAGACAGCCACAGCATATGAGAGCAGCAGGGTAAATTCAGTAAACAACATCAACTAGCTTACACCACTGGCATGTTACCTACCCTGACACATGCAGAATTCAAGATTAAAAGCTGATTACTAGCTCAAAATACTTAATCTTCTTCAGCCTCTGTTTCATGGAAGAAACAAACAAAAACTGGGGATAAATGACCATACGTTAATATCATAGCATTTTTATAAGAATTAGGAGTGCTTACTTAGTACAAAGCTTATCTAGGAGGCACTCAATCATCTAGTCATGAATCCAACTCACCAATCCTTAGTGGCACCCAAAAGGCTTGTCTTTACCCTACCTGTGTCAAAATATTATAGGTGCTTATCTTTCAGAAACATCTAGCACCTTCAGCATTTGTTCTTCATGTTCTGCTGTGAATTACAGACATGCCCTTTTCTGATCTTCTGTGTCACTATAATTTTACTCCATGTAATGGTCTCTCATTAACTGGAATATTTTCTCCTTTCTCAAACTTCATTTTAAAGACTCTCTGATGAGACAACTACCAAGCGTTTTCCTGACCAAAATATCCCCCTTAGTACCTAAAAGATGTACACATTCCTTCTCAAGGAAATATCAGAATACCAGCCGAAACTATAAGCAGAGAGGGGAATAAGTTCTGTTCTTCAACACCATCATCACAGCCAACCCATCATGCTTTTCCCACATCTCCTCCTTTGGAAAGTCAATTGAAAAAAAAAAAAACAACCAAAAAAATCTGTACCCAAACACATCAGCTTCCAGGAGTTAAATGTTAATAGAGATTCATTTAAGACATTTGACTATATCATTTACCACAACTATCAAGAGGAAAAAGGCCTGATGGATTTGAAAGGCCTAAGTGGGCCACCCTGTTTGATGCATGTGGCACCAAGACCAACACTCCAGTTAGCAATCATCCATGCCCTGAAGGCTACTTTGCAGGATACCTCATATCTGTAAGTTCTGTGAATCTATCTCCTTGCTCTGCAAAAACCAGACTCCCCTTTTATCAGCGTTTGACTTATGTCCTGCATCTCATGTATAAAGCCTTTGTGGTGGCCTATAAAAATCAATGCCACTGAGGAAACTTTCTAGGAAGATGGAAATGTTTTCTAACTTGATTGGAGTGGTAGTTACATGGGTGAATACATTTGTCAAGTCATTCACCAGTACACTCAATGTTTGAATTTTACTGTGTGTAAGTTGTGTTTTAAAGTTGACATACATTGACTACAGGAAATGCAATGTTTGGATCTGAAAAACAAACAGATCAAGATTAGGATGGTATATTCCACACAACGAATCAAGCTAAGCTTCAAATTTTGCCTATATCTTCCAGTACCCACTACAAATGATTTACCTGTACGGTTCAAGAATGTGTTTCTGGCTAGGTATGGTGGCTCAGGCCTGTAATCCCAGCACTCTGGGAGGACAGGAGTTTGAGAACAGAAGAGGCAACATAGTGAGAGTCTGTCTCTATTTAAAGGGCCTATCATGGCAGCAGGGTACACCTCAGGGTTAGAATGCCCCTCTTACTCTTGTGCTTCCTGACACTTGATGTTCAACTTTTCCTACATTCTCAATCTGAATATCATTAAAATTAATCCCTTCTGAAGAGTACTCTTGTACACTGCTATTGGAAGTATGTATGGACTAGCACTAAGCTTCTGGTGAGCAATTTGGAAATATCTATTCGCAATGAATTTTTAAATGCCACAACCTTATGATTAATCAATTCAAATTTAAGTCTCTGAAAAAGGAAACTACACAAAGACAGACACTGCAGCATTAAAATCATAACCAAAAACCAATCTATAGGGAAAAGTTAAATCATACTGTATTCACATCATGGAATACTACACAGTAATTTAAAAGTGGGGGGAAGGTAGATTTCTAGTGTACAAAACCAGCTCCCAATAGAAACCTCAGGCACTGAACTTCTCATTTACTTATTTATAGACAGACAGTCTCACTCTGTTGTCCCAGGCTGGAGGGAGGTGGTGCTGGTCTCAAACTCCCGGGCTCAAGCAATCCTGCTACCTAGGTCTATCAAAGCACTGGAATTACAAGGGTGGACCACTGCACCCAGTCAAGAAACATGATTTTCTTGTAGGAAAAAAATTTCTACAATTTTGTAGGAACAACTGAACACATCTGAAATAAGAAAACAAGCAAACATCTGGTACAGGTTGTAAACAAGTTTAGTAAAATAAGACATGTTTAAGAGCTGTTATAACTGTGGAAGGCTTCATGGAGCAGTAAGAAGTTGAGCTGGCTTGTGAAAAAGAGGCAAAATTTTTTAGGAGCACAGAAAGGTATGAGCATGAGCAAAGTATGGAGACTTGTCAGCATGACAATTCCAGGGATGAGCATTGGAATTGAAAAAGGGAGGGAAAATGTTGGGTAAGAATAGGCAATAAATCAGCAAAACAGGGTGAGAAGACCATTGCAAAAAATCTAAGTGAACGTGTAGCTCCTCAAACTACCATGGCAGCAGTGAAAAAAGAAAGGAAAGAATACATCTGAGATCATTCAAGATAGCATAACAATTAGCTGGGGGTGATGGTGCATACCTGCAGTCTCAACTGCACGGAAGGCTGAGGCCTGAGAATCAAGTGAGCCTAGGAGCTGAAGGCTGCAGTGAGCTATGACTGTGCCACTGCACACCACCCTGAACAACGAAGGGAGAAATGACAATAACAGGACAAGGGGTTAGGTGTCTATTTTGCTTTAGGAAACAGAAAACAGGAAGCAACTTTCTAGAGGGCCCAACTAGCCTATCAGTCAGCAACACACCACAAGCCAGCTC